AATTCAGATATGAAGCTTTAATAAGTTGTACTTACGCACAATCTACTTGTAATCTTGAGTTTTAAGTAATATGYATTAATAAACAGTATTTTACGCATAAGAAGTGGTTTTTAAGAGTTTTTGTCAAATGCTTTATAATATAGTATAGATTAAAATCACTTCTGTAGCACTTTGCATGAGTATGTTTTATTAAGTATATTTATATACAACAAATACAATAAATAAACTTACAAACTCTTTTCATTTTTGGTGAGGTTTAAACCTTTGACTTTCTAAGAAACCAAAGACTACAATACCGTTAAGTGAAAGACTCTTTGGTTGATTATTTTTTTTTTTTGGTTTTATTTTTGCTTGTAATTGGTTGTCTACTTAAAAATTTAATTATAACCTTATCTCTATTTAGTAACAATGCTTTCATAAGGAGATCCAAGTTATTTATTTAGGTTGTACAATATAATAATATAAAATTAATTATAATTATACAATATAATATACCATAATTATAAACGTTGATATGTTATTATAGCCTCTAATTTTCTGACGACGATCCTCAGTGGTAGTACAAAGCGACTTACAGTGTTAGCACCTTCAAAGGCCGAACAAAATTATACACGGAAATATTAGTGATAACATATGGGACCACTTGTTTATAAGCTGATATATCCCAAACTACTTTGTGAGATTTTTGAACTCTGAAATGTATAATTTTGCTTTCAATTCGGTATGTAATCAGTAATTCTATTATCTAACATTCCTCATTACACATGTATGCTCTTATGTGCATGAATAATAAAACAAATTGCATCAAAATGGAATCAACTTTACGTTTATTTGAATTTGAAAACCGATCTTCAAAATCTTCGTTTTTTGAAAACCAACTTTCAGAACTAATAAGGAACCAAGATCAAACCATCTTTGCTTTCGGGTTTTTTTTCGGGGAACATGAATTTAATCATTACTACGTCTTTTAAATGAGAAGTTTTGAAAGTGAGATTTTCAAAATGATTGTTTTGAAAGTTAATTCTCAAAACTAAAGTTGATTTCATTACGATAATTGTACCCCCTCATATATATGAAACATGTCATGTTAAAGTCGAAAATTTTGGGCATGTACTATTTTGTGTTTCTTTTGGTGTTTGACCTTAGATGTATCTTTTCTTAATTTATTTTGATGATAAATAGAACTGGGATGGATTTATGCTAAGACACCTGAGAGAAATCAAGTTTGGGGCAAAACAGGAGGCCCACTGGTTGGTGCACAGCTTAGGTCGTGACACAAGTCGTGCGAGGCTCTGTTTGTTCAGGGCTAAAAGACGCGAGCAACTTTTGGCAAATTTAAGTTGCGGCTGTAGTCGTGCCAATTATTGTAGGTGTGATTTAAAGCCATTTTTGACCCAGGTTTAACATTTACTCGCATCTCTCTCTTCATTCATTTCGGTTTGGGAGCAAAAAGGTGCATTCATTGAAGATCCAAGAGCATTGAAGGGTGATTTTGGAAGCTTCAAGACTTCTTCATCTACATTTGGTTTTTGATTGTAAACTTATATTTCACCAAAATCTAGCAAAGAGAGTCAAACTTACATGATAAATCTAGAAACAAGTCATATATCTAACTTTTAATGCTATTTAATGTGTTCTATGTAGTTTTATACTTTCCTTATGTATTAAAGCATTGATGCTAGATGGTAATAACAATTGGAGAAAAATGCATATTCTTCCGTTTGTTCACTAATATGGGATTAAATATCATATCATAATGTGTGACCATGGCGAAGGATCGTATTAGAAGGAAAGTTAAGATGAGAAGTTGTGAGAAGGAATCTGAACTATTGATCACATTTAATCTCAAACTCACTAATGAATCGCGCTTGATATGAGGATTAATCTGGTGCATTTCATCCTAATGTGCGTTCAAAAATGGAGATCCTTCTTACACTTCTCACCGGAACCTAACACTTGTGACCATTTGGTAGGAGTTGTACCAAACATGATAGAACTATAAATTTTGGGTACTTTGATGATGTATTCACTCTAAATGTGATATTTTCACAGGTGTCGAGTAAAATGGGGATTTGATAACTATGAAGTTAACTTATTTGCATATTAATATTGCTAAGTTATTATACGCATGATGGCGCTAACTCATTATGTTTGAGTTATTGATGATAGAGACACAAGATGAGGGGGGACTCTTAGTAATGAACAAAATCCTATGAAACAACACAAGGTAGTTGAGTCTTGAGGTGAAACCTGGAGGTGTAGGCACTAAGGTCAATATAACCTTGAGGTGAAACTCTAATGGAGGTCAGTAGGCACTAAGATAGAGGTTTTGAGGTGCTACATGACAACATTAACATGATGGCCTACTTTCATGTTCCACCATGCTTAATGGAAGTCGGTAGGCACTAAGATAGAGGTCTTGAGGTGCTACATAACAACATTGACATCATGGTCTACTTCGTGTTCTATCATGCTCAATATTAACAGGTCTCTCCTGTACGCATGAGATAAAACGAATGATTGGACCTGGGTTATTGGGGTTTGGTGCAGAAACTCCATTGGTCTAACATGAGCTATTGGAGAACTATACTTACAACATTATGTACCGTTTAATTATAGATTTATTGTTTGTGTAAAATACTTGAACTCACCAGTCTCGTTAGCCTAACACTTGTTCTTGATGTTATGTGTCTGCCAGAGAGAGTTGACTGGATGCCGACTAGAGGCATCTAGTGGTGTTACATGTCACTTTAAATTGAGTTTTGTAAAATGAGTTCCAATAAGGATCACAATGTTAAGAAATTTTTGATGTAGCAAGAAAAAGTGCTAAAGTAAAAATCATTGGACTGAAAGTGAAAAATTGTTAATAGTCAAGGGGCCATATTAGTAAATTAACTGTTCATTCGACTTTGGGTTCAATTTTTTCATCTCGTATACGTTCGGTTCGACAAACAAGTTCCACATCTACTGTGTGTGTGTGTGTGAGTGTGAGTGAGAGAGAGAGAGAGATCTGTGTGTGTGTGTGGACGAGATTAAGAAGATGGCGAGGAGACCGGACGAGGAGTATGATTACTTGTTCAAAGTGGTGTTGATAGGCGATTCAGGTGTTGGAAAATCCAATCTTCTCTCTCGATTCACCAGAAATGAGTTTTGTTTGGAGTCCAAATCCACAATCGGCGTCGAATTCGCCACTCGCACACTCCAAGTAATCCCTCTCTTTCTAAAATTAGATCATCTTTATTATATAATGGAATCTCAATCTCAAATTTTACTTGATCTTACTTGTTTGCGTTGTTACGATTGCTTAATTCTCCAATTTCCTATCCTCGATTAACTTATATGGTCCTATGAAGACGTATTATTGTTATTGACAATCGCGGCGTTTGTTTGATGCATGGTGTAATTTGATCCCATCCATATGGATCTGTGTTATAGATCCAGAATTATACGGAATTTATTTCATAATTTGTTGATGCTTTTAATCGATCCCTGTTCCCATAAAACAATTGAATCCTCATCACAAATTTCTCTCAAGTTCACGATCTTTGTTTTGGAAGTTGGATGCAAAATTCATCTAGTGATTAAGATCGGAAGCAGTTCAATAGCCAGGTGCCCAGGTACATAACTAATTGCCCCATTTTGAGATTGCCGATGAGCATAAATCAGATGGGTATTATCTAATAGTCACTTGTCATATTGATCTACATAGGGAGGGTTTTACTAAAACCTGGTACTTAACACACGTTCTGCCCCCAAAAAATCCGCTTATGCATCTGTTTTGTTTAGTCGTAAGGTCGAATTATACGAATTATGTAATCTACAGGTGTAATTTGTCTCTTAATCTAAAATAGCAGAATATCATGGACCACCGGGATGACAGTTTATTTTGATTATATAACCATGTGGGTTTCTATTGCACATTCAACTTATGTAGGAATTCCTGAGCTTATCGAAATGTATGCACATGCATTGGTAGTTAGGTAGTACCCTCCTATTTATTGTTTACCCAGGACTAGGTTTAAATCTTTATGTACTAGCTCTTTTCTACTGAATCTAGATGTGTAATTCCTAACATCTTTTTAGCAACGTACATGAGTTGTTAGTGTTCTACAATAACTCAACTTGTGCATATCAGTAGGTGCTAAGAACTTGTCACTTTCTCTTGCTATGCTAACAAAACTATACAGTCTAATTCGCCAAAGGAAATAAAGTTTTATGACCAATTGACAACATTAAGTATCAATTTCACTTATGTTATTGAAATGGTGAAACCTTATTGTCTGGCACCACATTCTTAGGCTGCTTGGCTCTCAATTACCTGATTCCTGCTTCATCTCATTTTGGGGTAACAGTTTACAGTTTGGCATGTTCATCGTGCCTGATCAAGCATGCTCAGGGGGGGACCCACAAGGAATGATATGGTGGCACGGGCCAGCGCTTCATGGTTTCAGTTCTGTCGTAAGGGACAAAAATTACTTTTCTGAAGGGTGCTACCATATAGTTTTTAAAACTGAAATGCTAGCACAAGACTTTAATGGCTAAGATGCTAAATCTCCTGCCTCTGTACAGAAGACCCAGGGTCGAGTCCCATGGTTGTCAAATTTGTTGTTTTTAGCTTAAATTTTGGTGTGTTTTATATACCTCTAGTGTTACTAAAAATATATATAGACCAGACTTGAATAAGGGTCTCTTCTATGTAAGAACAAGGAACCAACCAACAAATCTATACTAATATTGTGAAAAGAATTAGATATTTTTTATAGTCAAACTGAGCATGCATTTATGTGAATGACAAGCACATCTTGTGTCTGGGCTTTTCTTTTTCCTACATTTTCAATCATTAATCATTTTGACTAATTGTTATTATATTCATTCCCCTTTAAATCAAGGCCACTTTTTCTGTTAGAGAAAGATTTTGGTGTTTGGAGAAAGTATCATGTGCAAGCCATAGCCAACCAAGGTGGTTCTTTTGAACGGTCAATAAAACTCACCCACGCATGACTCCAAAGGGACTTGATTTCATAACCTAAGGGTGGTAGAGATCCACTTGGTATATTGAACCAAAGACTAATTGGTACTATATTGGACCAAGTGGGGTCTTCACAGAAACAACCGCTCTACTCAAAAGATAGAGGTCAGGTCTACATACATTCAACCCCCACCTCAACTTCGGTTTCAATATACTGAGCTTGTTCGGTTTGGTTTTATTCTTTCCTGGCTTCGTACTTGACAATAATGCGTCGGGCTTTTGAGGGCTAACACGGGGTTTGATTTTTCAATATGATTACATTTCTTTCTCTTATGCTATGTGCTTATTGTCCAATTTTTTTTTTTTTGTGCTGGTTTAGCTGGTGGTGAAATCTCAATGCTTCCATTATTCTATTCATTCTGAAAAATATTTGGATGTTTTAGGTTGAGGGAAGAACGATAAAGGCTCAAATATGGGACACAGCAGGGCAAGAGCGATACAGAGCTATAACCAGTGCCTATTACAGGGGTGCCCTTGGAGCACTTCTTGTCTACGATGTAACAAAACCAACAACCTTTGAAAATGTGAGCAGGTGGTTGAAGGAATTAAGGGACCATGCCGATGCCAATATCGTGATCATGCTTATAGGTAACAAAACAGATCTGAAACATCTCAGGGCTGTTGCTGTCGAAGATGCTCAAAGTTTTGCCGAAAGAGAAGGCCTTTCTTTCATTGAAACATCTGCTTTAGAAGCTATAAACGTTGAGAAATCCTTCCAAACAATTCTTGGTGAGATTTATCGAATTATTAGCAAGAAATCTATATCTGCTGGTGAGCCAGGACCTGCTAGCATCAAACAGGGTGAGACCCTTGTGGTTGGAGCTCAGGATGCCAATACGAAGAAGCCTTGTTGCTCTTCTTCTTAATCATTTTGTCAGAAACTTGTTTGAATTTTTCTCTTGTTGAATTGTGTTTTTTGGTTCGTTATTGTGTGGTTAAGCCCGAGGTACATTACAGATTCTAGTCGATTTCAATTTCCCACTTGGTGCCGTTTCATTCATGCTCTTTCGGTATTCATGCACTTTTGCTGTGGTTTCATCGTTTAGGGCTGCAATTTGCCTGTATGAATGTCATGTACTCTATTTTCATTGTGTCATTTGTTTCGAAGGATTGGCAGTTTAAATTTATGAAAAAACCATATACACAAAACACACTACAACAAAATCGGCTTTTTAGGACGTCAAATATGTATAATAAATGTTTTAGTAGAATGGTTTATAGGACCAAACACTTGTTTGTTGTATGTAAATGAGTTACTATGTAGGAACTCGTATAGTTAAACAGAGGTCACACATACGTATAAGTTGACGAACTTGTGCTCTCAGTAAAACCACCATGAGAACACTGCATGGAATGTTATATGAATGTCGTAAGTGTTTCATAATATCATAAGACTTGGAAGTCTAGTTAAGGCGCACACTATGATCTGATCATATCGCAACCGATTGACATAATAGTCATTGGGTGCATTGTCAAGACCATGTGGTGAGACCTGCATTATCAATAAAATGAGTGTCCCAATCTTCTTTATTCATAGTTGTAGAAGCGGGTTTTGTTGCTCTTGTGTAACATAATTGACGTCTTTGGGTCCGTTGATAGAATTGGATTGAAGAAATGCATGAAAGCTCAATCAGTTAATATGTGATATCAAGATCTATTATGTAACCAAATGGTCATTGGGCCAGTGGTATTTGAGTTACCAGTAAACTACGAACCTCTTGGAGGTCGAGAGTCGAACATCACCCAAATTGATAAGTGTGTGTAAGTATCTGTCGTATGTTATATGTATATATGTTATTCATTCAATCCATCCAAAGATATACGAGGCTCGTTTGGTTTGGTACTTAATAGTAAGTCAAAACATTTTCATAGAAGGAATTTCCCCGATGGTCGCACTTTCAGTCTTTAGCATCCATGTGTTTTGAACAATTGCGAGTGTTTGCACACATCTACCAACCATACGAGACCTTAGAGTTAAGAGTCAAGCAAACGTCCAAAATCATTGAGAGGACTCGAAATTCGTGTTATAAAATAAAAATATAGAATTTTCACTGAATAGAGTATCGATTACAATAATTTGTGGTTAATTGTTTCTATCAATGGGTAGATGTATACTATAGTCAGCTAAATAGCTCAGTGAGTCCATGATTTACGTGCAACCACAATACACACAAATTGACTATATAAATGTCAATAAAAGAGTGTCATGCAATTTTATCAAGACATACAACCCCGACGACATCTCTTAACCCCACTCCATTAGGTAGGGACCTGCCTTGTCAAGGCATTCCCTGGGTGTATAGGTTCACAAAGAACTAACCGTCTATTTCGGGTCGGGCGCCCTCTAAATGTGACATATCGAGCTGATATCCCATACCCTGAGTATTGTACCATAGGCACATGTTACCCCAACTCAAACTATATGCATGCGATAACCGTAAAATATTTAACATACTTGCACCATAAACTAAAACACCATATTCATAAAATCGCAGATCAATGATAACAAGCAATTAAATGCCTCATCAAGTATACATATAAGTCGCATATGATACATGTAAAAATAATTTGTACATATGTATACATTCCAATAAAATCTCGTGAAAGACTCACCTGATAGTGTAGGTCCGTTAAAACTTCTCTCGAAATGATAACCTACAATTATGGAGATAATAATCGTATTTAAAGACTCTCCATATATATACATACATATATATATATATGTGTGTGTGTGTGTGTGGAGATGTGTATGTGAGGATTGTGAGAGAGAATAACTAGCGATTAAGGTGATAATTGTGAGAAAACTTCCGAGCCTTTGGATGATAATTAACTTTGTAATCTGATCTTATTTTTCTTCAACTACCTTTAGTACTATCAACTACATTTATCTATCTTCAACAAGCTTCAGTTGACTTCATCTATCATTTATCTTCGGTTTTAATCACTTTCGCCAACTTTTACAAGCATTTAATCACTTTTACATGCATAACTTTGTTAAAGTTTCAATCATGAGGATAAAAATAAGTAAATAAAGATAGTTAAAGGTGTGTGTGTGTGTATATATATATATATATATATATATATAGGGTTGGATTCACGTGAAATAAGTTTGTTTTTCGTGCGACACGATTTTTGCACTTGAAATTTCACAACGACATGTTGCGAAGGTAAAAAAAAAGCCAAATCTTCACAGCAAGAACACTGTGAAGGTTACCTTCACAGTGTTTTATTATGAAGTTTCAAGTGTAAAAATCGTATTTCACGTGTCTCACGAAAACAGAATTGTCTCACATGATCCCAAGTCTCTCTCTCTCATATATATATTAAATACAAACCATAGAAAGGTTTAAAATGATACAATCCAATATCAGTCGTCCATCTAGTCTACCTAATCTAAAACGTTGATCGTAGTTAATGAATTTTAATAATCTTGTATAAATATTCAAATCTTAATAATTGAACATCATCATTTTCATAAATATCTTAATTGATTGGTTTGTATGGTTTTTAACTTTTCCATGGTTTGTATTTGAATTCTTATATATAGAAAGAGAAAGAGTCAGGTTCAAAAGAAAACCATAAAATTATAAAAAAAAAAAAACCCCAAGAAAACCTTAATAACATTGATCTCCTCTAATCTAGTAATAGCAATTTCAATAATTTATTAAATACAAAAAGGGTAAAATGGTCCATGTCATTAATAGATAATCGTTTCGATTTATTAGAATCCTTAAATAAAGGTAAAGTTACAACAGATAATGGAGACTCCATTTATTCTCTAAAAATATCCAAAAATCTACATAAATATATTCAATAATCTACAGAAAAAATTTACAAAAAAATTCCACCCATTATTTCATTCGATATGTGTGCTTCATGCACATGTGAATAAATTATTGTATCCATTAGTTTTCGATTTTTGCATTGCATATACATGTGAATGAATCGCTGTATTTAACGTCTTTTGATTTCTGTGTTGCATGCACATATGAATGAATCACAATATTCATCGTCTTTTGATTTTTTGGTTGCATGCATATGTGAATGAAACGACGCATTCATCGTCTTTTAATTTCTAGGCTGCATGCACGTGTGAATTAGTGGTCATATACACCATCTTTCAATTTCTAGGTTAAATGAACATGCGAATGAATCATCAAATTCACATTATTTTTTTCAAATTATACATTGTATGCACGTGTAAATGAATCATCGCATTCAATTTCTTTCAATATTCTGGGTTGAATGCACATGCGAATGAAACACTATATTCAATGTCTTTCAGTTTTTGGGGTGCATGAGCATGTGAACCATTGTTTCATCATATTCACGTATGTATAAAACTCAGAAAACAAGAGTAGAATAGATGAATGTTTGAATCTTGTTACAAGTTCACAAATGCATAATCTTCAAGGCCACCAAGGTTTCTTATCACCATTATGAAAAAATTGAAGAGGATTTGGAATCACATCGAAGCATAAAAGATTCTATAACAAGAAGCTTGAGTGATCTTCAACATTCAGATACTCCTCATTTCACCACCATTGAACATTTGATAACGTTAGATAATTGATCGTTGAAAAAAGTTGTAGAGGAGGAGCCATGAAGCAGCCATCGAGTTTGTAGGTTGAAGAAATCGCTGGAGAGGGAGAGGAAGGGACTATTTGCTAAGCTCTTACCATCTCTTATTCGGTAAGAGACTCTTACCCTAATAAGAGGTTGGGTCTTTAACCAAAACAACTCATTCCTCTTACTATTGACATATTCTGATCGTTTGTTGATCAAAGGCGGTGAAAAGGATGTCTCTTTCCAGAGTAAGAGATCAAACTTGTTAAAGGTTTTTCATTTCATTTTTACCCTCTCCAAACCATAGGGACCAAATTTGTGTTTTTGCAAACCACTTCCGTTTTTGATAATTTCCCCATCACGTTGTTGGCCTTACCATTGATAACCTACGTTTTTGATAATTTGTTTTTTTTGTTTCTCGATTTCCACTATTTTTTGAATAGTTTATATGTATTCCATTAACTTTTTTCTGTAACAGGTGAAGAATTAAAAAGACAAAAAATAGAAGAGGGAAATCGATGGCAGAGGTCAATGAAAGCGATAGACAATACGAGGAACGGACGTCGGCTGGGCGACAAGGGGTAACGAGGGGCCGATGTCATTGGGTGTGAGGGGTTGGAATGACTTAAGAGTTTAGTAATGGTAAAACGATTTGCTCTGTTGGTCTTGATCTTATTGTTTGATCAAAATATGGTTTTGAACCCTAAGGTAGCATTTGGTACACAAACTGGATAAGACATGATAGGATCACATGACATGACATAACTAATTGTTTGTACTACGTTTGGTACGACTAGAACAAGACTGGCCTAATTGTCTGTCTTGCATTTGGTAAGTTGGACAAAACAGTTAAAATGACCAGATTGCCCATAAATGTTGTTTAATGTTATTTTATATCATATAATGATTGTAAATGACACAAATCAACCAAAATACATTTAAATAATTTTATCCATAATATTTATACAGTTTTCTAAATATGTATAAATGATTTAAGAACATTTCAGCACAACGATTGTAAATATATACATAATTTAAGAACATTCCAACACAAAGATTGTAAATGCGTACATAATTTAAATATTTCCAACATAATAAATTTAAATACGTGCATATTTTTTTGATTAACCTGGATATCCAACCCGCTATGCGAGCCGACTAATCCTAGAGCGACCACCTGCTTTGCACGTAGCCCGGAGTCACCGCATTTGAACCTCCGCAACCACAAGGGGATTTTTTATTCCTCATTGGATTTGAACCTGAGACCTCCTGACATTTTTGACCTTTAGAGCCAAGCTCAAACCAATTAGGCACCACCCTTATGGTTCATAATTTAAATTTTTTACAATACAACAATTGTAAATAACACATGTCATACCATCACTAAAAGTATAAAACATTCAAAATACCACAATTGTCTTCATATGTCAAATGTACCAAAAATAATCTAAACATTCCAAGATAACAATTGTTTTCACGATATTCTAAAACAATTACTTGTCCTCATCATAAATCGACTTCACAATTTCTAGTTTCACATCATCATTCAAACTCTTCCAAAAATGATATTGGGATGGTTTGTCCCCAAAGTACTTACCCATTCGAATGATTTCCATCACACAAAGTCCAAGTCGCTTCAACTCATTGCTTAAGTCATCCATCTTGGTTGTAGAATCCGAGATGACTGAAACCAACTTTTTCATTTGATTGGTTGCTCCATTGATTTCATTCTTGGTTTCTTCCACTAGCTTGGATAACTCGGTTGTTGTTTTTTTTCTTTCTCTTTTTTACTTGTGTCTTCTCCATCATTTGGAATAAAGGAATGGAAAGTTGTATTCGAAGGACTAGGAATGGGGGAAATCGTCATCATTTTCCATGTTCATATTTTCCAATGCGTCGGTAGCAGAATCGTCCATGTTCTTGTCGTGCGATCTTTTTCGAGCACCAACTTCAACCGCTTGTAAGCCGGGAATGGCTTATTAGCCATGTAGTTCTACATATTTAAGTATTTGGAAAATCTGTTTTAAATTGTCAAGTTGTAAATAGGAAATTCCCCCCTTTTTACTTGTTGGAATTGAGACTTTAGATTGAGATAGCCCCGTAACTTCGGGAGAAGGGGTGCCAACTCTGTTTAACCGGTGGATTCCTTCCAACCGACTTCTTTACGATCAATAACAGTCAGAGAAATGGGGAATGTTGGGGTGAACCAGAAAAGTTGGAATTCACAGGTTCCATCGTTCCCATCGCTTCTTACTTTATGGTTAGGATGTTTCTATGACAACAAACAAATAAAAAAGTAACAAAAAACATTATACATAACCTATTATAACATCTGAGTACTAACCTCTAAAAACTCCTCCAAAATCTAGGGAGCTTCGACAGTTGAACATTGATTTGCGTCATTCCACTCGAATCCGCTTGTATTTAGCATGTCATAGTCAGCAAAATATTTATCTTTTAGGTGTTCTATTTTATTTTGTACCTGCTTCGACGTCATGCTAATACCGGAATTCTTTCACGCATTTTTGAGACAACAGTCTTATACGTACTTGTCCCAAAACTTCAATTGTCACCTTTACTACCATTAATGACAATAAAACATGCAATACTCGATGAACACACCGACTTATTGTTTCCCCAATCTATAGAACCTAACTTAGATAGTTATATTCTTAGTACGGTGTGCCAATATGTTTATAAATCTAGCAACTTGCTCCTCGGTTGTCATATTACCAACATCTACTAATCCACCACGAGTTTTAAGCAAATCATACAAAATTGCAAAAACATTTCTATCCATTCGCAACTCATTGATACAGTTTACATCACTTTCGCGTGTAATATGTTGTATTTCAGTTGATTTAATTTGAAGTATAGTGAAAGTTCTTTGACCCAAAGTTTCTATTTCATTATTTCTGTTCTCCAATTCAATTAACCAAATTGTAAGGGACAACAAATACATGAGAATTTGAATGCAAGTATTCCATACATTAACGAGTACAACCAAGTGATTCCGGTCCATCACTACAAAATTCACAAAACAAAGTACCAAAAAATATAGTCGAAATTCACAATAGCATAAAATATTCAAAGGATGATGAAAACATAAAACAACTTATACCGGTAATAAAATTTTTTTGAGTGTTTGAATAAATAACTTATACCGGTAATAAAAAGTTTTTGAAAAAATTAAACTCTTATCATTTATAATAAGTTGATAACTGCTTTTGTAGATAAGCTATCAAATAATAACTTTGTTTCTTAAAATATTTCCTTTTTTGGGATTCGGTATACAGGAGAAGGATTACTACGAGTATTGAATACGTGGGAGACCATACCTTCTCTCTCTTGTTCTATATTCCCTTTTCTCAAAACCTTCTTCATTCCAATCATCCAACAACAATCAATCCATCCATCAGCCTAACAATGAGCAACGAATAGTCGGTTCCTTCCTCTAATCATCTCTCCCCACTTCCCAATTTACTACTATTTCTGATTTCCCTTTTTCATTTTTGTAGTGATTATCTCTTCAAGCTCTTGCTCATTGGAGACTCTTCTGTTGGAAAATCATGCCTTCTTCTCCGATTCGCTGTATGTATACTTTCAACTCATTTTTTTCTTACTTGCATTTTCATTTGATCATTGCAATCCCCTTCTAGATGAAGCTTTCTGTCTACTTGACCTCTAAATTCCAAGGGTTTCTAATGATTTTAATGTTTTCCCTCTCTCTATCTACTTGTGTATTTCGACATTTACTTGTTGCTTCGCTAGAGTTATCCATTTCCGTCCGACCATTTCGGGAATATTGAATTTTGAGACATTTTCGGGATATCGTTTTTCTATGTTTAACATCTTCCATATGGGGATACTTGAAAATTGCAATATCTTTGGTATTAAATTTCCAGGTATTACACTAATAATTTCGTAAAATCAAGTCCTTGGGAGAGATGATCACTCCGTTTTTAAATTTTATATAAAATGATGGGGTATGATAAAAAATGTAACTTCTAAGGAATTAGGCTAATATGCTTTGTATCTGAATTTTTCGTTCTTGAGGATCTTATGGTTGATCTTCAATTTTCAGGATGATTCTTATGTCGATAGTTACATAAGCACCATTGGAGTTGATTTTGTGAGTGTACTCTTTCTGTATATGTGTTTGATGTGTTTACATGATTACGTGCGAAACTGGCTTTTTATAGTTTCGGCATTTTAAGATCAGGATTGATGTTTCAGAAAATTAGGACGGTCGAGCTGGATGGGAAGACGATCAAGCTGCAGATTGTGAGTACAGACAACAGATTGTTACTTACACATAAATACACTTGGACTTTAGATAATATCAATTCAATATGCTTTTTTTGGTAACCACTTTTGGAGATTTGATCTTTGCTAGAGGAATTATATGGATGAAAGCTAGATATAGTACTTATTGTCTCTACTAGCAGTTGCCTTGTTTAAGCACATCTTTCTCTTGCTACAGTGGGACACTGCGGGCCAGGAAAGGTTTCGTACTATAACGAGCAGTTACTACAGAGGCGCACATGGAATAATTGTAAGAATTACTTTGTCTGGTTTGGTACAAATTTATGGAAGCTCTGCACATTTTCATCAACCCATTTGATCGTTATACAGAATGTGCTAATCACCAAAAAGAAAAAGAGCTCCATATTCATTTTAGTTTATCGTTTGTATGATTATAGAACTCCATTGTCATGAACCGGATATCACTACAATCAAAGCTCATATTTTACTTTTCTTGGCCTTCTTTTTACTGGTTTAACTTCTCAAAATCATAAAGCGCACTTGCCTCAGGAAGCAATAATTAATGCACCATCCTATCTATCCAACAAGATTGCAATGTTTATCTTGCACATGTAAATTAAAAGTAGAAAACCATTGCCCAAATGATCAAAACCCCCGTTAATCTAATTCCACAATCAAATCGAAATAAATATTTTGGACTAATGAATGGAAACTACTACTTTTGTAATGATTCCGTAGGGAATGTAGGTATTTTGACTTGGTAAATTTTTCTAAAAATGGAAATGTTGTCATTCTTGTGGGATAGAGGGGGGTATATTAATCTCAAGGGTGTTTGGTTAGTGCTATTAAGCAGTAATTAATGGATTGAAAATAAAAGAAACTGTTTGGATTTATATCATTATGATGGTGCATTTTCTACAAGCCCAAATTTTCATTCCTAGTTAAACCGGCAGGAATGGAATTCCCATTTTTATTCCCTGTCATTTTCATTTTCATTTTCATTCCTATTTTTATTCTCCTGTCTGAACCAAACAGCCCCTCAATAGATGGTTATATGCATCGGCATTCATCCGTGTCATTATTGTTAGTTTACGGGATTCATACATGCAGTAGAAGTATAACTATAACCTAGACAAGGCTCCAAAAGAAACGGGTTAGATAAGTAGATTAGGTGGTTAAATTATCTCTTGATGATAAAGATCGAATCTTTATGAAGAGGTTGAATCCGAAAGCTGCAAACTTCAATTATCAGCGTCCAACAGTATCCGCACGATCACTTCAATCACTTTGTTTCACCTTTACATCGTGAAACCTCAACACTTTAGAGTTCGGCTATAAGGAAGAGAAAAAGAGGAAATTCTTAAGAAATTCAATTACTTTGTTTCAATAAGGTCCCTCCCTTTATATAGGTAAGGATGAAACCCTAATCGCCTCCTGTTGTTGCATTTGACATTCAAAAATGTTGTAGCAACTCTTGACAATGCTACAATAAATCGCCGTTGCAAAAATCTTTGACAATGCTGCAATAATTCAGTGTTGGAACTTGGAAGGTTATTATATATCATTGCTATACTTTGCAATGATGATTTTTTCGATTCCTGAGTATAAAAATCATAACTTTGTATCATGTGATAATCCTGCAATATAAAAATCTTTGACAATTGTAAAGAATTTTCCATTGTTCGAAAGTTATTATCATGTTCATCATACAACACAAAGTATAGCAACAACATGATATTAGACAATGTCTTTATTAATCATAACTTAGTTGTTTCTGAATCATTTAATGATCGACTTTGGTCATATCACTAACAATTGAAGGCTGGTGGTAGGGGCTTGAGGAATTACCATGCGAAGGGATACAGATAGGCTGCCCTCAATAAAGAAAGCTCTAATAAGTTGCATTTGTTTTATCTGCCTAAAGCATTCGTATTGAAAGCAGTGGGCAGACCCATGTGACAGACCATTGAAATTCTATGTCCTACAGAATTCAAATTCAGATATTAATGAGTTATAAATTACACTAGTAAGAGGAAATTTCAGTTTACTTTGTCTCCATTAATAAGAAGTGTTTGTGATTTTTAGTTAGAGGTAAGATTATAGTTTTCCAAAAATTCCAGCTTAAGTAACTGCCTAGTGTCATGGACCAAGTCCATCAAGTCCAGATATGATGCATAGGGGTTTGTCAAGGGAAGGAAAGATCATGGACATCTTAGAAGACACCAAAATACTAATCCTGTATTCTCCATAGATCTCTAGAACTGTGTTGTACCTTTTAAAAGATTCATGATCCTTGGTTGTAGAATGATTGTACAAGGCCTAGAAACAACTTAGCACTAAATTAAGCATTAAAAAAAACTGAATGGGGATTAGTATGTTTTTTTCTTAATTTGTGTTAATCATTCAACCTTTTTTTTAACTTTGAGGTTATCTTTTCAACCATTTTTGAGTAATTGTATCCGTAATTCGATAAAATAAAAGTAGCTGTATTAAAATAATATAGTATCATGACTTCAATTCCCGTATGTTTGCATCATCTAAAATGATCATCTTTTATACATTAAAGTTAACCAATAACCAATTATGCATCCACTATGTCATCTATTTAATTCCTACTGGGAGATTAAGGAGTCATTTACCAAACGCTTATCCGGGTAAGCACTTATCAAGTCACATTACCTTACCGGAAGAATATGGCAAGGACTAAGAATCTTACTGTTCTTACCCAGTAAGAGTGAAGGCAAGGAACGAGAGTCTTACAGGTAAGTGAGGGCGATGACTCTTACCATGGTTAGCGCTTACCGGGTAAATTGTTGCATATGATGTCATTTTGGTGGTCTAAAATCTTACTTGGTAAGTAAGTTGGTAAACTGTTCAAATTTTACCGGTAAGCGCTTATCTGGTAAGTGTTTGGTAAACGACCCCCAATTGTTAGAAAGTCACCAAACTGACTGTCTCCAGTTAACGCTTTTTAGAATACTAGGCAGGAATCACATAGGAAGGAAAGATCATGAAACCCATGTAGGGTTCATGGAGAAGTCTTTTTCGTTTGTGGCCTGCTGATTCACTAGCCTGGCTTGATAGCGATTTTGTCATTTCAAGCAGTTGGTCGTCTTTCTTCTGCACCAAAACTTATATAAATTGTACATCAATAATTTACCATGTAATGTTCTATTGGCATTCACATGACCATGGGTGGGCCATATGATAAATCTTGTATAAAATGCACTTTACTACTTGATATGATTTTTTCCATTATCACTTCTATTTTTTTTTCTCAAGCTATGTCTATGGGCAATATAATCTAGTAGGCTTGATCTTAGGGCCGCTTACAAAACGCTTATGGACTAGAGTCACCACCCTCACTTACCTTATCAGATAACGTGGTAAGGGTCTCTTACCCGGTAAGCGCTAATCGAGTAAGAGCCTTCTCCCTCATTTTAACGGGTAAGATTCTTGGTCGTTGTCATGCTCACCTGACAAGGTAAGTGACACCCAGTAAGCGATTGCTAAACAGCCCCTTAGTTATTGTAATTTCTTTGTGGTGTTTTGTATGTTACCTACTAAAAGTGGCTTGTTGTAATTGAGAATCAGATGACTTGATGCAATTGAACTATAAAACTATGTATCTTACATTAATATTGGTATTGCAACAGATTGTTTATGATGTGACTGAGATGGAGAGCTTCAACAATGTGAAGCAATGGCTGAGTGAAATTGATAGATATGCCAATGAATCAGTCTGCAAGCTTCTTGTAGGAAACAAATGTGATCTTGTTGAGAACAAGGTTGTCGACACACAAACAGCTAAGGTATAGCGATGAACATATAGATGCTTTAACGTCAGTGTACGTTCTATCCTAGACCCTGCATTTGGGTGGGATATACTGTGTTCAATTTGCATTCTTTTTTTAGTTTCTATGCTTTTCGTCATCATGCTTTCACTTTTGATGCATAGCAATTAGCAAGACCAACTGAAACAGCACATGGTTGGCGAATTATCTGCAGGCATTTGCAGATGAGCTCGGGATCCCTTTCCTTGAGACAAGCGCAAAAGACTCGGTCAATGTGGAACAAGCCTTCTTGACAATGGCTGCTGAGATAAAGAAAAAGTAAGACGAAGTACAAGCATAGTTATTGGAGGTTTTTCATCATAATTATTCTAATCTTGGTTTTAAACGTTTGAAATTACAGAATGGGTAACCAGCCAACGGGGGACAAGAAGTCGGGAAACACAGTGCAAATCAAGGGGAAGCCGATTGAGCAGAAGAGCAATTGTTGTGGTTAATGTACTCTTTTTTTCAAGTATGTTAAAAACGATAAGTAGCTGTAAAATGCTGGTGTAAACAGTAAGGGTGATTATGTTTTGTATGGATGTAGTTTTAAGTGGTGGTAAAATGACAAAGTATGATGGTTGTGCATTTATGTTTCTAAAATATGTACTGTCCCACATCGGAGGTGAGTGGAAAGGAGATAGAGCTTATAAGGTGGTTGTGGGAATGTATGAAATGTGTTCGTAAGAAGGAGAGATGGTTGGCATCTCCCCTGACAGGGACGGGAACAGCTTTCGAGCTTACCTGTTACCATACACATCGGTTAAGGCTACCCACTTCGGTGGATCTCTAACCCAATTTTTTTTTAATTTAAAAAAAAAAAACATTTTCCTTTTATGAGGTAAGAAGTAAACCAACCTTTTATTTGTCTTTATTGTTATTTAGACCCTCCGTAACAACGTTTAATCAATCATTTCTCTTAATTGATCATTACCAAATCAATCATCACCCCTCTCAATTGATGTATTTTAATAAGATTCAAATGTGTTAAATACCGTCAATGACATATTTTATTTAAATGAAAGCTAATTATGTAATTTCATAATGATGAAGAATAAATATGTGAAATTGTATAAATTTATCTATAAATTCAACACTATAATTTTCTAATAAATGTAATAGACGATTTGAAAAATTCAAACATTTATCAGTTTACAAAAACGGTCTTATTGATTCAAATTTCAGAATTTAACACCACCTCTTATTAATCATAAATAAAATAAGATTTCAGACTTCAGGACCTGTTAAAAACCAATGTTACCTAAGTCTCTAAACTTTTTTTTGAATAAATAAACAATTGAACTTTCTTATTTTGAATAATTAAATTTTAAATAGTTGATGAACTTGATTATTCAAAATGCGAAAGTTCAACTGTTTATTTTTTCCATAAAAAATTCAAGAACTTAATTATTTAAAATGGAAAGGTTTGTTGGGGTTTTTTTTGAACTTTTTCTTATTACAATAATATATTTTTAAATTATTTTTTATTAAAGTATTGCATTTTAAAAAATTTACTCATTATAACAATTAGTAACATATTAGACTTTAATCAGTCAACCACTTTGTTTTATTTACATGACTTATATAAGGAAATGTAGATAAAATGTTATTCTAATTACATGACATAAATAAAAAAACCATTTGAATATCATGTCTTAAGAGAAAAATATTGAATATATATTACTATAATATAAAAAAAAATACAGTGCAATAATAAGAAATTTATAATAACATGTTATTTCATGCATTTAACCATGTGCAAATTAATCGTTTAATACTTCCTTAGAGCATCTTCAATAGGAAAGTTTATAAAGAGAACGCTGACTTAACAAACTGCTCCGTACAGATGGAGCCATTTGATTAATTTAATTATTTTTTAATAAATTAATTTTAACTAACAATTTACTTAAATAATAATTAAATCAATAAATTTAGGGGCCGTTTACCCCGCAAGCGTTTATCGATAGAAGTCAACATTATGATTTATTTTGATGCGTAAGATTTTAGTATATTAAAACATATCGAATGCAATAATTTAGTGGGTAAGTGCTTACCTGGGTAAGAGTCGTCATCCTCACTTACCGGGTAAGACTCTCCGTCATCCTCATCGCTCTTAACCGGTAAGATTCTTGGTCCTTCTCACGTTTATCCGATGGGGAAATTTATCCGGTAAGTACTTACCAAATAAGTGTTTAATAAAAAGGCCCCTTAACTAATATCGTTTTTATTTTTATTGTTTCTTTTTATTTAAGAAGTTCAAAACAACCCAACAAACTTTTTCATTTTGGATGTTTTAGTTCTTAAACTCTTTCGTTTAAATGAAAAACCCAACAAACTTTCTCATTTTGAATAATTGAATCTCTAAATTATTCTTTTGAACGAAAAAACCATTAGATTTTCTTTTTTTGAAGGAAAAAGCCATAAACTTTTTTATTTTCATTGATTAAGTATCTGAATATTTTTTTAATAAATAAATAATTGCACTTTTAGAAATTGGATTCCAAAAAAGTTATATTAACCGACTAATAAGAGTTCGATGATTTATTTATTTTTTTTTAAAAAATTCAGAATTTTAAATATTCAAAATATGAAAATTTAATGTTTTTCATTAAAAAAATAGTTTAAAGACTTAATCATTCAAAATGAGAAAGTTTAATAGTTTTTTCATTCAAAAAAATAGTTTATAAATTAAACCATCTAAAATGAGAAAATTTGTTGGATTTTTTGAACTTTATTGTCGTTTTTTAAAATATCATTTTTATTCCTTTATTTTTGTAATTTATTATTATT